ATATTATCTCAAAACCCTACAGTTCTTTCATGACTTGCACAAAACTCTGCAGCTGTGATATGAATATTCGGCTAGCTTCCATTAGCTCTCTTAGCCTAGCATGATTAGTTCTTGGTTAAAAAAATACAATATTGGAGTTTTTTTTTATCAAAACAAGGAGCTAACTTATCAATTCATCATTAAAAAAAACAGSACGCGTGACATAAACCTCCGTGTACTTACCTTACGTGATAAACAGCCTGCGGTCCAGATGTTAGGGGAGCTCCTGCCCAAAACGTGAACTGTGTATCCAGATGTTTGTTGGGTAATTCAGCGGCACTTCAATACAATGACGCCGAAACGCCACATACTCCACATATCTGCTTCAGTGGGGTGGGCGGAGCTTCAGACGGGGCGGGCGGAGTTTTCGTGTGGTGGGCGGGGTTTTAAAGGGACTGGACCTAAGCCTGAATCACTCCTCTCCACCAGTCAGGTGGAGAAAAACTAGGTTTTGATCTCAGCGAGTTTTTTTTAAATTAGTATTCCGACTTATTAGAATATGTTTTAAATTAATTAAAGAGTGAAATAAAACGTGGTAAATGATAACATCCCTAAATATCCTTTTGATTTGAGATATTTTGCTATCAGAGAGAAAATACCTCCCATATACACATTTTGGCAGTGGGTACTAAACAGGATTATGAGTAATTGTTTAAATTAAAGCACAAACATGAAACATTACAAAACATACATTTTATTTAAMGTTAGTGAAAAACACCAGTACAGCCTGGAACTACAGAGAGCAGAGCCACAGTGATGGAACAGCAAACAGTTTTCAAACAAGTCAGCTCCTCGAACTCTGAATGTAGTTGTTGATTTCATAACAAAAGCAGCTTTAAACATTCTGCGTGTGTAAGTTTCCATTGACATTCAACATAACACTGTAAATGAGAATAGTAAAAATTGACAAATTATACAGGAATGACCAAAAGCTCAGTGTGGATGAGCTGTACAGAGCACCGAGATTTCTGATGGAAAATCTAAAGGCGTTTCAATAAAAACTATTGAGGAACTTGAGGGAGATGGACAACATCCTTTTCCCAAAAGCATGTATTCTTAAAGTGATGTTATGTCAAAAAATTATCAAAAGTTAATATTTTATCTGGCAGAATGTGGAGAACTAGGCTATAGTTTTCATCCAGGCTAGGCTAATTGCTAACCAAACAAAAGCCAATAATGTACTATTTTTCAGGCTTATTAAACAAGTCTTCCTTAAAAACCAACATCAGTGTAAAATGCTATAATTTTACTATAATATACWATAATATAATTCCCCATTTAATTTCCATGCAAAAGCTTCAATTTGGGATGTACGTTTCTGGAACTTTACTGGCTGTTTTCCATCCATTTGTAATCCTAATTAATCATGTTTCAAATTAAGTGTTAGACCGTAGTTGGTAATCCTTCACGTGTCGCAGTTAAATATTAACTAATCCTTTACATCACATTTTTGAGGAAGTTGTTTTAGAAGCCTGGAAAATAATAAAAGAGACTACCATGTGGCTAGCTGTTAGCCTAGCCTGGATGAAGACTTCAGCCTCTTCCTCCATGCTGATGTCACGACTGATAACTTTTTGACAGAACATCATTTCAAGTGACCAGACTATTGCTTTAAAGTTCTGTAGCTGGAGTAACACGATCCAGAAATGGGAAAAAAAAGAACCATAACAGCTCCTTGTGTTCCCCCGTAAAATGAAACGTTTTGTCCCTCATACAATACTCTGATATAAATATATTTTATTTATTACTAGTATTCAAGTACCTGAGAGCATTGTCACATTTTCATTTGGTCACCAGTAACAGTTYCAGGGTTTGGTGTTTAACCTTTTGGCACTTGAACATAGTGAAAACACGGTAACACAGCAAATACATCTGTTCAGATACTTGAAAGGCTGTAAACTTTTTAAGGCTTTAGTGATTTTTTTTTAACCTCCACAGAGAAATGTTTAAAATGAAGCAGGATTGTCCTACCACTAGTAGCAGGTAGATTTCCTATTACGCCTTCAAAATWTAACAAATCTGAGAAAATAAGTAAACCAAAAAGCATTGAATTTAGAATAAATGCTTAGTGATACAGAAAAAAACCCTAAAAGTTCTATTACAGTCGCTGTAATCAACATATATTATCTAAAGTATAAATAGCAATTAGGCTATAATACATAGAATAAGAGGGCTTAGGTAGCTTGATCATGTCCGGGAGGGAAACATTAAAAGTACAGCAGTGACCAACTCCCACCACAGGAGCGCACGGGTGCTCTTTGCAATACTGCCTCCCTTGTTTCCTCTGATGCATCCCATAATAATCTAACCATGAGGCTTGTGTTAACTGTTGCTATTAACACAAAACTGAAATTTATTTACAAGTTGAAATCAATTTAAAACCTTTCATCTTTCTGAAACAAGTTTATTTCAAGTCAAATCAGTTTTTCGCTACAACCTCTGGCCTCCTTTCCGCTGCCTAAATCTGAGCGTGGAAAATTTTTTGAACCATTTTCCCTTTCCTTTTTGTGATTCACACCTGAGCGTCACGAGAACACGTTTACGACAAGTCGCCGTCCCTTTGGAAAGCCGTCGGGTGGCTGACGTCCAGCCTCCTCTGCGCTGAGCCTCGTCTCCGGCCGTTTGGGACTCCACGTCTCAGAGTTCCCGGGGTTTGGAAGAAAGCATTGGAAGACGAAGTTGGCGTTTCCTTCGGCGTGTGTGGAGTCTGTAAAAAGAAACACGGGGATGAAAGTTTGAAGGGTGGAATATTTTGCTAACAAACATTATAGCCTTTCACTGATAATTAACTGGAATGAAAGGGAAAAAAAACAGCACTCTCGATTGAATGCCTCATTACAGCCCAGTCACCGATCTATTGTTTATWCAAGTGTTCATGCATGTAGACTTGCGTGGACACAACATTACAGGGTGTAGTTTGAGGATTCTACTGTCAGTAAGTTTAAAAGCTACAAACCATGTGTGTGTGCAGGGCCGTAACTCACCAGCAGTTCCTGTGCGTTCACGCTGACGGGCTGCCCGGGCCCCGAGGGAGAGTGCGGTGTGCCCACGGCCGACGCGCGACGCCTGCTCACGTCCGGAGTCGCCGGCGACTGACGCGGTGAACCGCTGACCTCCGCGTCGTACGGCGACGCCCCCACCATGAAGTGGGCGGGCGACATCACGGCGGGCAGCCCGAAGCCCAGTTTGGTGGGATTCTCGGAGCTCTGCTGATGCATGCCGCCGGCCAACAGGGGGTAYTGGGTGATGGCGGCTGAAGGGAGCAGCACGTAGGGCAGCGCCATGGTGGGAGGGAGTGAGACGCTGGCTGCTGGCTGTCCAGCTGGGATGAGGAAGTTCAGGCCGTTAAATCCTGGAGAAAACAGGCGAGACTATGAGACATAGTATATACTTCTGTACTATACTTACTACAGTTCAGTGCAGGTTGATGCTGACGGTGCAGAAACATGGTGACTGGGATTAGAAGGAGGCACATTACCTGTGTTGTTGGGCACATAGAGGTAGTGTGATGGCTGGCTGTGCTCCATGCTGCTGCTTTGACTCTCTGCTGCCCTCTGCTGGACAGGAAGGTTTGACGACGCCTCAGCCTTATTTTGAGACCAGTCTGCATACCCCACAGGTTCTGCTCCCGTCTGGACAGAAAAAAATAAACGTTGTAAAAAAAAACAACAACAATTAATATACTGTGTAAAAGGCTTAATCATATTTCAACATCTCACCTGTCCCTCAAACAGGGATTTTGCTTTCTTTCTTCCCGCCACCTCTGAATCTTGTTCGCTCTCCTCCAACCTCCGCTTCCTCTCCTCCCCGTGAGCCGGCCCGGCCGACCTCGGAGCTTCAGCTGATCTCGGAGCTTCGGCCGGACGTTCCTGCTCGTCCGGCCGCCTGTAGAGCATGACCACCGAGGGCTGGGACAGGCTGGGCAGGTAGGCCAAGCAGTGGGGCGACGGGAGGAGGAGGGTCTCGGGGTTGTGCTGCGTCGGCATTACGGTGGGCGGTGCGGAGGAGGCGGGGCTGTACAGCAGTGTGTTGAGGTGGCTGCTGAAGAGAAACAGGAAATGGTTACTAATGTTTTAACTACCGTAGTGACCAAGGTTATAACAGTTTTGGAATTTTCATTATAGTTTAGTTTTATTTTGTTTTGACTTTTTTTCTTTTAACTCAGTTAGTTTTAACTAGTTTTTTTAGTATGGATTTGCTAGTTTTTATTAGTTATTATTGATTTTTTTAATGCTTAGTTTTAGTTTAGCTTTCATTAGTTCTAGTATTAGTTTTCTTATAGTTTGAATAAACATATTTGYCGAGGCATCCTCCCACTTGAGGTGTTCTTGTGAGTTCACTAACCAGCAGCTWTTTGGTTACCAGTGAAAACAGTCCATTATAACATCTTACTAAAATAATCGCATAACTCAATTTTGCCAACAAAGGATTTTGGCAATTATTTTAGGAAGCTAATGATAGTTGTCTCCAACCCGGTGCTACCTGGCCAGGCTGTTGCTTGTTTTCCACGGGGGCTACTGAGAGAGCTTGTCAAGATACTCACAGTTAGTTAGACACTTGAGAAGTAATCAGTCTTTTTTATCACCTGTTTCTACTACAAGACACTTGCTTTTATTTTTCTCACAATCGTTCAAAAAACCCAAATTGAACTTTGCTGCTTTCTCCCAATTTTTTTGTTGTTGTCATTTTGCAGGCTAGCGCCGAGCAGCAGCAAATTGTAAACAAATGACGTTACAGGTGCTAGAAGATGCTCACAGCTAATGTGAAAATGCGAGGTTGGAAGAAAAAAAAAGATTAGTTTAATCAGTCCACACGGCTTAAAATAAATTGACAAACACTAAAACTAAGCATATTTTATCTGTTATTTCAGTTAGTTTTAGTTTTGTAAAAAGATTATACAGTTTCAGTTAGTTATCGTTTAGTAATTTTATTACAGTTTTTATTTATTTCAGTTAACTAAAATGTTTTTTCAGTTTCAGTTTTCGTTATTTAGTTAGTTTTAGTTAACTATAATGACCCTAATAGTGACTGGTGTGTGTGTTAACTCACTCTGTGCTGCTTCCGAATTGCAGTTGACACACTGAGCTGTTGCTGACAGTCATTCTGGAAAAGTCTGTATTCTGGTTGGACAAACCTGTAATAAAAAAAAAAAAGGCTCAGTCTTTCCAGTGAAGACGAGGACAACATGAAGATTTTAAATTCGTGACGGAGGGTTTCCTACCCGGAGGGTGACAGCGTGGGCTGCTCGGGGCCGAGCTGACCTGCCGCATCACAGCGACTGAAGTGGGCGTGATGTTGAAGGAGGCGTGACGCGCCATCTTGGTTTTCCTGGCGTCCTGGCTGTTTGCTGACGACGCTGAGCCACACGGAGCGGCGGCCGCCGTGTTCAACGTGTTCTCTGATGCACAAGAACACAACGTTGAGCCTCAGTGCTTTAAGTGGAAAAAAACAAGTGCTGGTACTCCCATAATATCATGTAAATATGGGATAGAGACATATGTAATGTTTTTACATAGACCTATCTATCTATCTATAGTTTTATTTCACAAAAATGACAAAGAACAAAGCCAGTTCTAAATCAAATCCACAAGAGTCAAATTCATCACTGTTTTTGTTGTCCAAGTGTCTTGGAGCTCACAGCACCTAATTTCTTTTTTCAGTTACATATTCAGTAACTTTTATKGAAAATGTTTAACTTTAGAAGTAGTGTTATTGAATCATACTTTTTACTTTCACTTGAGTAATACTATACGTATTACTATGAAGTATCACTACTCTTAATTGAATAAAACGGATACTCTACAGGCTATACTTCACTAAATGAAGAACAAACGTGTTTTAATCAAATCTGCACCTAATACAGAATTTGTTCAAATGACAACACAATCTTTGTTGATCTGATGTTTGTTTCTATCTGCTGAGCTGCTGAGACATTTGAAAACAAAAAAGATAAAGTAAATATTAATTGTCACTATTTATCCTGTTCTAGCATACATATATTATGAATTAGTTT